TAAATTATTTTGCAATACTACATAATACAACTATTGTTTTGAACGTATATATATATATATATTCTTAAATTCTTACATTTAACTAATTAAATCATATATCATATTGTTCAATGATTGATATGATAAATCAATCATATAAATAACAATATCTATATTAAAATTAATAAAATATACATATTAATTCATTTCTAATTAATAATAATTCATATTAATTAATTCTTAATTAAATCATACAATATATTTATTTATTTCAGGTTTATTTAACAGGGACAATGCACATCAACAATACATAAATGCACAATGTGCCAGAATTAGCCAGAAGGCTATTTTGCATCTGCAGTCCCTGGACTGGAATATCATTGTGGAGTGATTGAGATGATAAATCAATTATTATATAAATAATACCTGTAATAAAAAAATGATGTATGTACAGACATGTTAAACATTTCATAATATTTTCTGTAATATATATATTATTAAATCCTAACAGTTAAATAAACAATAATTAAATCATACAATATATCATATTGGGCAATGGTTGATATGATAAATCAATTATATAATTATATAAATAATAATAGCTATATATTTGTGTGTGTGTGTGTGTGTGTGTGTGTTCAATCAAAGTGAATAAATACTGTTTAAAATATTTCAAAATACTTCCTATAGTTAAATGCATTTAAAGCATTGTTATATCTTTAAATCATGCCGTACAGTATATCATGGTATTTCAATGATTGAAAAGGTCAGATGTGTCACAAGTTGCAGTGGATTTGTTTCGAGGACTGCTTGTGATTGTGTTGGGGGTCTGAGTCAGAGAGCCTCACTCAGTATGTACACTATGCACACCAGAAGGCTACATACACCGCTGGCTGACTGGACTGTTTCCATGGTTACCATTACAGGTTTTTGCTCTCTTTGCTACTGCAAAGTCGTCAGTGGAAGTGTACAAAAATGTTTCAGAGAGTGAATTTTTGGTGCAGAGGCTTCAAAAGAAAACATTCGGAACAATTGCAGTGTACGCACTTGTTTTCGAATGCGAATAATCGCCTCGAGCTCTCTGTGGAAATCTCTGGAAATGAAACTATGATGGCAAATATGATGTAACAGAGCCACAGCTGCTAATTAAAATATCAAAAATCATACTGCGTTCCTCCGATTGGCTTTCCGCTGAGGATGGTGTAACCCTATTGTGTAGTTCAGAGGTTCTGAGGAAAGGCATTTAAAATGCATCAGCCATCCGCAGCTAAACGCACACCGCTAACACACGCTCCGCTGCAGAAGCAAAGCCACACAATACCAGAGGTCACTTCACAAGCGATTACATAGAGATCGTTTTCAGAGTGGGCTCTTTGTCTCTCGGTGGCGCGGAGCGACTGGGTAAAAGCCCAGGGCAACATGGCTGGTAACTGTGTAAGTCAAGCTCTTGAATAAAAGATGTTGGCCCAGATGGAAATCCACCATTGGTCGCTGGATTAGACCCACATGTCTAAAGGACTTTGTCCCGTACACAAACAAACCGTTAGGACAGTGACTAAACACCTGAAGCATCACAACTTCATTTAGGAGGGTGAATCAAAGCACAACGTTGTTTTACTTCCCTTGATATTAAGAGTCCTTCAAATAGGAAGCATTCAGATTAGTGTATTTATATTGTAGATTAGATAAATCAACGTTCTAAAAATCCAGTCATACTTTTTTTTTTGTCCAGATGAAAGGGTACCAAATAGTTACTGAGTGTCAGCATTATAAATAAACTGATGTATTATTAAGAACATAATAGGCTAAGGCAGTGCTGGAAACACGTTATTGGAGAATGATTGCCCGTCTACAAACACAATAAAGCACTTACGTCTGGATACGAAATGCTCCGGTCATTCCAGTCAGAGCTCTGTACATGTTGTTTGCCTCACTTTTACAGGCAAAACCAGTACATGTCTGCATAAGAATGCTATTGATGCAATTTGATCATCTGTAGCACATCCTTTAGACCTCTTGAGACCGAACCCTTACGAAAAAGAAGTTTATTCAAGTGTGCTATTAGTATACTTCTTTTAAACTAAAAATAGGAAAGTATACTTTTAGTCTACTTTTTATACGGTTCTTCCAAACATACCAATTTTCTAAAACGATTGTCCAATCACATAATCTATTGATGCAAACTCACATAAATGTTTTGTTGTGCATCGAGTTTTTTTTTAAATGTAAATAAATATCTGCCTTATAATTGAGTGCATATATGTGGATGGAAATGTGGAACTACAGCATTCACGCTATGAAGGATGGCGAATATGAGGAAATATCTGACCGCTGAATGTTGTTTGACACATCTAGGCTGTATCAGGAAATAATCAATAAAAAGAAATAAAATAAAAAACAGACAGAAAAATTAAATTCTAATATAATATTAAAATATTATTCATAATATAATAATACTATAATCATATTATTACAAATTATATAATATAAATATTATTCTAAATAATATTATAACTGATCATAAAATGATAAACCAATATAAAATATTTCAAGTTATCTCGTGTTGCTTTAGGTTGTTTTAATGTGCACATCATAGCGGAAAATGGTTGAGCATTTCAGCTCACTAGGAAGAGAAGGTGAAAATACTAGCTCGAAGATTGTGGACTGCTGTATTGCAAATACGTTTCGTCAGCTGTATCTGAAAACAGATATATTTTTGGTGAACTGAAAACTAGCGAACAAGCATTTCGTACTCTTTGTATCGCTGGTTGCCATGGACACTTGCAAAGATCATTATTATGACTAGCAAAGATGAAAAGACAAGGTTGTCCCTCTTAGCCTCCAGTTACAAATACTTTTGGGAAGAAAACATCTCTCGACAAAAACTGAGGTAATCTTTAGACACGAGCAGAATGCGACCATCAGTCAGTCAACAAACCAGAATTAATTACTCACTTAAACTAACAAGAGAGCCAGACCACAATCACACTCTTGATAGTGAAACAGTGAAATAGTCAATAATCAATATACAAATAAAAAGAGAGCTTATAGGGCTAAATGTAGAAACAGCCCCCATTTTGTTAAAATCGTGCTGCAGTAATAATGCGGCATAGCTTGCTAACTTTGGTTTCATTAACTGATTAATGATTATATCAGTGGTTTTGATTCATTTGAGTACATGAAATATTAAATCTTAAATAGCTTATATAACCCTTTTTGCTTTTTATTCATTTACAACGCTGTAAGCAATAGATACATGCTGTAAATGAGCTGAATAAAAAGTCTATATTCTTGTTTGAACACATAATTAGGGCCAATGCTTGAATTCTATAGTTGATGAAAGTCCAAATGCAGAGAGAACAGAAGAATAGACATTTCCCCCTTGTTTTAAATATATAATGTCTCATTCTAGCAGATTCTTCTCGTCTGTCATTGAGAACTACCTGTCTGTGAAACTGTTAGAGAGGTGTGTGGCAGCATCTACAGGCAATGCAGAGAACTACTGATACCAAAACTTACACTTGATCAT